TTGTATACATTATAAAATATTTACTGTGACGATCAAAAATTGTCAATTGACTGAAGGTCAAGAACAAAAAAAAGGTTTAAGTTTTTAGTATATGCATTAAAAAATTTTTATTTTATAGTTTCCCAGAAAGCCTGATCAGGTCTCTATGGCGACAACAGTCAGTGAAGAAAAAAGAATTGAAATTTCTATAAAAGGTGTGAATCTAACGGTTTTTTTTCTTTGTTCTTATAAATTACTGTTTTTTTTTTTTTAAGTTAAAAATTTCAAGAAAAAAGCATTTTTTTTTTTTTGTTTTTAATGTAATAAAAAAATGAAAAATTTGTCAGCAGTTGTTTTGCTGTCGTTTTCCAACAGCAGTTTGAACTTCCAAATGCATCAGTGTACACTGAATTAACAGAGTGTGGCATAAAGGAGGGGGAGAAAAAAAAAAAATCTTCCTCTTCAGCTTCAAAAGAGCAGAAACAAAATTGAGGTACTTCAAACAAACTATTGTTTTGGCCAATAATAAGAGTTTGTTATTTTGCTTAAACGCTGAAGTGACATCTGTCTAGTTGGTTCAACGTTCCTTTTTTTTTTTTTTTCGGCTTCATCAATATCATCATCATCATCATCATCAGCATCATCAGCATCATCATCATCAGCATCAGCATCATCATCATCATCAGCATCAGCATCATCATCAGCATCAGCATCAGCATCAGCATCATCATCATCATCGTCGTCGTCATCGTCATCATCATCACTAATACCATCTTCAGTTTCAATTCAGCATCTGTCTTTACTCACTTGGTTTTCCAGTCCCATATTTTTTTTTTTTTTTTACATTTTTATGTTACTTCCTGCGTGAAGCCTTATTTTTGTACTTTTTTTTTTGCTTCACACTGATTACTTTCAGTGTTTGTTGAAATCATAGGGTTCATGATTCATTAATTGCTCTGCACCACATATTTTACTTGTTCAACGAAGCATAATTTCTGCACTTTGGTTTTAAATAATATTATCAATGTACAGCTGCAAATTTGTCAATTTTGCTTTTTGAATTGTATTGAACCTGCCTGTAACATATCCCACTTGTAACTGTTCAAATTTTTTTTTGTTCAGTTCCACCTAAAATTATAATAACTCAGTGCCGAAAAAGATATTAAATAATAATTGACGCACAACATAGCGATACTATGTTCTAAGTATTGCTCGATGAATGTCGGCTATTTTTTGAGCATTTTTTTTGGTCGTTCTGGTCAGCTAAAAACGCAGGTAAATTGTATCTTTGTATCTTGTTTTTTTTTTTTT